GCGTGCGTGTACCTTCCGGCTGCCAGCAGGTCGTAGTCGTTTCTCTCCCATCCAAACTGCAGCAATAAGAAACACACACAACATCACGTCTCTGGCGGCACTCAAGCAAACACACGAACAGATTGTTGGTAGAAGGTAAATAAATAAGTGTGTTTGAATCAAGTCTGCCTCAAGTGGCCACTAACAGAACTGCATCTGTTTGCACGCCTGCTCGTTCCTGACCCTCGCTGTGGCTCTCATGGTGTCCAAAAGGGAAAGAAAAAACAAAAACGTGCAGCAGGATGACAAAGTGTGATCCCTTCTTGGAGAAATGCTGGAAGAATTTCAATAAATGTTAGAAATTAAAAACCTACAGCGTGCATGAGCGGCCCCAGGGCCACGGCGCTGTCCACACAGCGTCCCGTCACCACGATGTCCGCTCCGAGATCAGGCAGCGGCGGATAGGGACGGCCCTGGAAATGGAGACATGGCAGAGGCTTTCAAGCAGCTGTTTGGGCTGCAGCTGAAATCTGTAACACGAAGCAGGGCGTCCGTACCCGAGGTAGGCATTCATGCTGTGCAGGGTTTTAGGCAGCTGCTGTCTGCCACTGCCGTCCGGCATCTTTACGTCAGGCAGGCTGCTCCTCTGAGAGAAGAGAAGAAGAAAGGAGAGGATTAAACGTCTAATCAATCACACCAAATAGGGAGTGATGATGTCAGAGGCGCATACATGAGGCATGAGGTCATCAACCGGTCACCACGGCGACCTTGAGTTCAAGGCCGGCCTTCTTGGTTACTTCCTGTATGGCTTCAGCGCAGGCCAGAGGGTTCACGGCCACCCGCATTATACTGACCACGCGGATACCTGATGAGAAGGAGGTTGCCGTTGATCACAGATCACCTGTTGCTATGGAAACACACTTCCCGCTGTGCTGTTTACTCACCTTTCCTGTGATGTCATTGATGAAGGGAGCCAGAGCAACCTGGACAAAGTCTGGAGCGTAACCGAGGTTCTGCAAGAGCAAGAGTCAGATGTTAATGCAAAGGTGGGGAGAGAGGTGAACAGCGCTGCTCCCTGCTGGCACGGAGCTGCAACAGCAGCAGAAAACCCTCTACAAACCCCATTTCTCCTCTTAGAGCTGGGTGTGCAACTCCAGGCTTCGAGGGCCGGTGTCCTGCAGGTTTTAGATATCACCCTGGGTCAACACACCTGAATCAATTGGACTGGTTCATTACCAGGCCTCTGGAGACCGCTTGATGGATTACAGCTACTGTAGTGTACTGTGTGTGAATGTGTGTGTGAATGGGTGGATGACTGATATGTAAAGCGCTTTGGGGTCCTTAGGACTAGTAAGGCGCTATATAAATACAGACAATTTACTATTTATTTACCATTTAGTCAGAAGCCTTGCAGAATAAACTCCGCCTCAATCCCAAAGTCAAACAAACACTGTTGACTTTTTAACTGAGAGTTAAAAACTGTCTAAATTCTTTCATCTTTAATAAAATGATCAGTGTTGCTGCTCTACCAAGTGTAACAATCAAGTTTAACATCCAGGCATCATGAAAACAAAATGTATTAAACGTAAGGAAGTTAGAAGTTAAAAGGAAGTTAGCTCGCTAGTTTCCACCTAAGCATGACATATCATGTTCTGACCTAGAGATTTCTGAAAAACGTACAGCTCTGTCATCACTTCCAACATTAATGAAGACAGAAAACTAAACAGCAGTGACGTTTGTAGGGTTACTGAAGTTGGACTGGCTGGTAAATAATGATGTCCTACGTGATCACTAGCGACACAGCTATGTTAGCATAATATAAACAGTGAGGCTGGAGGATGAATGCTAACTTTTTTCCACTCAATAAAAGCCAACGTGAGGGTTCCCGATGGTTAGTGAGAAATGCAATCGCATGGCAGGATGCTGTAAACGGACCAAACTTCAGTCCGGAGAACAACTGAGATAATCCATCCACAATACAGCAGTATCTTTATTTAGATACACAGAAAATGAGGGAAAGTCATTAATATACTGCAACAACATGAGAATAGAGCAGCTGCCAGAGAATTCAACATTAATGAATCAATGGTACAGAAGCAAGAAGAATGAGCTGAGTAAAGTTTGACTTTTCTGACTGTTTTGTTTCCCTTAATGTGCCTTATGTATGAAAACAGACCCGCTCATCGACAGTGCATCTTATAATCCAGTGCGCCTTATGGTCCGAAAAATACGGTAAGTTGATCATTTTACAATAAATCTGCAAACCACACACGTTTTGTTTGGACTCCATAGACAACTTACCGATTGTGAGTCAGTGGCTATTTTCAATGTGAACTTTTACAAAAATTAAATGTAGAATTTTTAAGCTACAAAAAACTAAATAAAAAATCTTCCCTGAAGTTTTTAACACAAGCAGCTGCATGAATATTTTAGCACTGTGTGTATATGTTTGTAAAGATGTTCATTTAAATTCTTCTGTTATTTGTTTTTATATTTCTGCATCTCTGCAGGTGGTAAAAAC